ATAGGTGGCAGAGGCAGTTCATTGAAACGATCCGGCATGTCTCTCCCAACCTCGCGCAGCAAGATTGAGCGACCCTGAAGGTTGACAAAGTTCTCCGTTCCGTGCGGAGCGTCCCAACGCTTGTTGGGATGTGAGACTGGTGCTGAATGATTTCCAGGGTTCAACCCTGTCGAGTCGTATCGGACATTGCCACGATCACTGCCACGTTTGAAGGACTTCTTCTTGCCACCTCGACCTTGTGTATGCTGGCGGGGGAAGTGGGAGGTGAAGGAAGGAGTATTTACTTGAGGAACTTGGGTTGGGCCCATCGGAGGAGGCGGATAGTAGAAACCAGGCATGTTGTTCGGTGGGACATTCGGCGGCTGCTGGTGAGGGATAGCAGGATTCATCGCAGGGCTTCTATGCGCCTGAGGGGGAGTACCGAAAGGAGGCTGGCGGCTGTTGGGGTTGAAGTTGGGGGGCATGCCACCACGACCCTGGTTAGGAGCACCGCGACCAAAATTGGGTCCCGGGGGATATCCCATATTCGGCTGGTTGTAGTTGTTGAAGCTGCCACGACCACGGCCGGCACCGGGGAATCCACCACGGCCCATGCCAGGCTGGGGTGGGATTTGCTGAGATCCCATGTCGTTGTGGCTGTGGCTGGAGCTCCGCCGCATATGAGGCGAAGCGTGCGAGGCGAGGGCGTTGGGGTCCTGAGAGGAAGAAGCTGTCCGCATGTGAGGGCGCTAGAAAGCAGTAGTTGTCAGTAAAGGGAAGAAAAAGCCCTGGGATCAGGGTTGTGCGACCACAGAGATTTGTTTAACTTTGACTCATCCGTCGACATAGCAACGTAGCAAGTCACACATGAGCGAGCGCAATGAGCCAGACAGGGGAAGGCAGCCAACATGGATGAGTGTGGAAATGCTTACCTCGCTATCACCTCCGAAACTGCCAAAAGTCATCGCATTGCCTGGGGCTGCGCCGGAGAGAGGACGGCCACCGCCTGTAGCAGACGGCTGGGGAATCGGAGACGGGGAGTTCTGAGGCGAGGTAACTCTGGGATTGCCGCCGGGGATAGCGATAGGGGCGGAACCTGGCTGCGGGGAGCTGTGGGACGCAGCAGGAGAATCCTGGAAACCGAACTGGATATTCTTGGGAGCTGAGGCGCCGCTGGGACCGTTTGCGAGGGTGACGGAAGGGTCGCGAGCGTGGGATTCGCCGTTGGCGCTAGAGGTGCCGTGGGCAACGGCAGGAGACGCCGCGGGGACAGAGGGGACAGCAGGCATGATGGATGGCCGGCCGTTCAGTGGCGAAGTTGAGGACGACTTTGCATGGTGCGGCGCAGAGGCAGATGATCCGGTTGCGACCACGGGCGTCAAATGAGGCTTCTTGACTGCACCGGCAGCAGAAGCGTAGGACGGCGTGGAAGAGGTGCTGGCAGAGCTGTTGGATGCGGGAACCGAGTTCTGCTGGGCAGAGGTGGACGTCATAGGTCTCGAGACGGGAGAATCGAGACGATCGTGCCGGCGCGATGAAGACAGGTCGAATGTCAAATCCGAGTCTGCTCAAACAAGACTACTGAGGTCTGAAGAGAAGGACACGGACAACGAGGCACCAAGTCGCAGGAGGCGCTGGTGCAGATTACGGCTGTCGAGGTATTAAAAGGGACCGACGAGAGTGGCGACAGGAGGCGCTAAAAAGACCGACGTGCGAGAGAATCGAAACGGTAATTAAAAGAGCGTCGTCGCGGGTTTCGTGGGTGGCAGGCACGGCTCGGACTGGCGGCTTCGGGGGGGTCGCTGGGTCTCTAGAGTCTCTGTGGGCGGCAGAGACAGGCGAGAAGCAGGGGCTGGAGGCAGTCGTCTCGGTGATACAGAGATGCACGGAGAGAGGCCTGGTGATGCCGTCCTTGATGGTGAATATCAAAGGAGGGGGATCGGAAGGGTGGGTTGACCTACAGAAGTCGTGGTTCTGAGGTCTTCACTCGGGTGGTGGTGGTGATGAGGGAAGGGAGGAAAAGTGGAAAGCGGCCTGGAGGCGTAAATTTTTTTTCTGTGCAGGCAGAGCTTCGCTGTGCGCGAGGGTGGGAGAGCACAGGTGGGCAGGCAGGCAAGAGGGACGAGGGACTGGGAGTGGGAGGGCAGCAGCAACCCAGCCCAGTCCAGCCCAGCCCCAAGCGTGGGAGGCGGGCGAGGTGGACTACTACCGCCTGCGATGGGGCACCGTTCGCACGGCTGCTCATCCCGCCGCCCCAGGAACAACACACCATCCATCCATCCCATGGTTCCTGTCTGCTCTGTTTCTTCTCCACGGCGCCACCGTGCCAAAGGTACTTGTTATGATGGAATCATTGCTCTTCTTGTTCCAGCTCCGTCCGGCACAGCAGCCTCTGCGCACGCGAGTCGCCCTCGCCCCAACATCGCAGCCAGTCAGTCCCCAAAGGCTGGAGGGGACTTCCATGATGGATGTTTCAGGGTCAGAGTGGGATACGCCCCACCACGGACGGCTGTCCAACTTTACGCCGGACAATGACATTCAGCTCTGCCCAGGTATGTGTGTGTTCTGCCGACCGTGAGTCTTTGATGAGTGATGCAGAAGCGTCCGCGTCGCCACCGAGTGTGATGGACTGCCTATGCTCATAGTCACCGCATGCCAGTTTTTCAGCTCCATAATTCCAAAGAAGGAACGCAACTCATCCTGGGAACCAAGGGGGTTTTGCTCCCGCCTTCCTCCGCCCAGCATGGAACATCCTGTGAGGATCTCAGACTCGGCGGCAATAAACGTCACTCGGCCCATGCCAATCTAGCCGCTAGGGTTACCTACCGCATCCGAGCTTCGAGATGCACCGAAAGAAACACGCGCATGTACTTGGCCACGGCAAACAAAGTGCAGTCGATGCTCCCTTGAGGAACCCCGATGCTGCTTTTCGTGTGCACCAGCCACTCCACAGCCGCACTCATAACTCAATGACTTATGCGTCGAGCGTCTGTCTTCGTCGCTAATGTCGCGTTCGCGGCGCGCGAGACGCGCATAGCCGCACGTGGCAATCTCAATGAAACCAGAGGAACGTCGAGGCCATGTTTGCCGCAATCTCTCAGCTGTGCCGATACCCAACGCTCCTGATGGCTTGCCACCAATGCCTGAGATTACCAAAGCGACCACGGGCTTCACCCTGCCGCTCGCTCCTAAACCAAGCTCGTGCAGCACGTCTCTTGCCTGCCTCCCTGCGAGCTCCGGACTGGGCACCCAGGACCCCGTGCTCGACTCATCACGTTCTGGAAGCCCGGAAGCCATACGCGAGCCGGGCGTACCGTATATTATGTCGGGTACTAAGTTTGGCATGGGTACACAGTCAACGGGCAATTTCCACAAGTGTCCTACCGCTCATCACCGCGTGTCTGGAGATTGGCTTATCATTGCTATCATGATGAAGAGCGTGCGTAACGTGATGTTGCAACAGAGTATTTCCAGAAACCCCTGGGCTCTTGGTGACATGTAGCTGTGCCCCAGTCAACGTTTCGATGGCAACATTGGGGCTGGTGGCACAAATCACAATGACTCAAAACCGCACCTCTGAGCAGAGGGGTCGATAGCAATTGGCTGGGGCCCGACGAGGCCGCCTGCTGATTGGCGAGCTTGAATGCCATGATCGAAGCCGATGGCGAAAAACAACTATTTTCAAGTGATGCCTGGATTTTAGCTACCAAACTCCGGCATCTTGCTTTGTTAGCATGTCATCCTGCACGAAAGTTTGTCATCCGCTTTCGACCGGATCATGGTCTGATTGATTCTTCTCTGATTGACCCTTCTCTGATTGCTGCCTGCCTGCATCTGAGCCGTGCAATTGCTCGACACGACTTGTCACGCATGGTATTGGTCTCGTAAGCCTTCCTGATCCTTCATCAGCTGATGCCATCATAAGATTACTGGCACCGCACTGGTAGCTGGCTCATGCTGATGGGCTCACTCAACTGCCCACAGCACTTGAGTCACGCACCTTGGCAAGCATGACTGTCCAAGCATCTCAATCGGGCGGTTCAAAAACCCCTTCAGTATTTGCCTCTCTGTACTGCTACCTACCTACCGTGGTCTCCACCTGGGCTTGACTTCGCCAGCCCGCACAAATGAGTCAATCTGTGGAGATGCTCTTCTCATTCACGGAATCGGATTATTTGCCACTCTTACAGTGACTGATCCCTTTCAAGTTAAAAGAGGACTATATACAGTGACGTCCAGCCGTTTGCCTCTATGAGCTTGCCCCACGCTGCATCCTTGGCGCTGGACGTAAAATGCAGAGAGCTCGGGAGGATCGGCCTGGATCGTTTCTCTCTTCATCCCTAGGGTGCCGGCCCCCATGCAGCACGCCCTCATGCATGATGATATCAACACGACACACGTCGGGGCGCGGTACTTCCTTCCGCCATGGGACACCCCTCCTTTTGTCAACGAGCGAGGGCGCAAATTGAGATTATTATCGTACATGTAAGCAGATAGAACTAGCTGGCACGGATGACATGTCCAGGAACAAGATGTGCACCTCCCAGCTCCTTCGTCACGGGTGGTCCCCAAAAGATATTTAAAAACAAATCCCTTGTTATATTATTTCATTTTCCTCTCAATCTTCCGGGGGCACACCAATACCCCTCCTAGGGGGCCACGCATGCTTTAACTTCGAGCAATCGTGGAATCACAACAACCCCGCACAACAGAAGCCCGACGCCTCACCTAGAAAAGTCCACGAGAGCTCCCCCTCTCACTGCATGCCCAGCTGTCCAGTCTTTCCTAACGACGTCAAAGGGCGCGGCCGGCTAGGTGCTACAAACCCACCTATCTGACCCACTCATCCCATCCCTCTCCACACCAGGGCATTTCGTCAAAAAGCAGGGTCTTTCACGATTCATTGCCCCGCCACGTTCAGGGAGGGGGAAGAAAAAAACCCGATGCCCACTCCCACAAGTGGACCACAGTCGCCTTGGCCATAAGCCAGCATAAGAATCGTTTGTTCTTAACACCCAATATCCGAATTGGTGTAGTGGCTAACATTTGACGCTCTCATCTCGACTTACTTCTATCAGGAAGTGTATGGAAATGTGCCGTCAAGCCCGGGGTTCGATTCCCCGATTCGGAGTTCGTGATTTTCCTTTTGCTCCTCTGCCGTCTGGCAAAGGTAACAGGTAGATTTTTTTATAATACTTTTTTGCTTTCTTTTTTGCTGATCTGGAAGGCCTCTCTTCCCTTGTCACCGTGAGACCGAACAGACCGACAGCGCTTGGAACCACGAAGATTATGGCAGCCGAACCTAGAATGTCGAAGCCAAGTGAAACGCCCACTCTCGATGGCTCTGGAACTGTTCAGATGTCCTGGAAGGTGGAAGGGCGACGCAATGCACGTGCAGAGTTTGCGACACGATTGAGATTGGCAGTTGGCCGCCGAGAGGTATTCTGTTCTCTTACAGACAACTCGCAAGCCTGATGATCCGGCCCATGCATATCTATATGTGTACATCTGGTCAAGGACGATAGCACACATGCGTACGTGTCTTCCTAACCACGGCAGATTGTTGTTTGATGCCGCTCGAAACATTAATTCGTCGTAGTGACGATCTCCTGAGTGGTCTCTGGGGCCGTTTCGACGTCCTGCAACTCTGCTGGCGGCGGCGATGGCGCTGCATCTTCTTCTCCCATCTTGACGTCCTCATCGATGACCACCTCGGCGACATCGGCACTCTCTTCTACGCCATTCGTCTCCAGTTTTGCGCCGTAGATAAAAGCCTCTAATTGCTTGACGGCATCCTCCGCATCCGAGCTCTTGATTACAATATCGTAGAATCCTTCCGTACTGGAGTGGTCGATGTCCTCCTGCGCAGCCTTCAATATTTCCGCGAGTCGTGTCTCGTCGTCAATCCCATCGACCTTCAACTGAGCTTCCAGATCTTCGGTGCTCGCAGGTGCCACAAATACGTAGCGGGCTCGATAGCCGTTGTCCTTGGCATTGCTTGCGCGCTGCAGAGAATAGATGGACATGTCAGAGATCTTTCGTAGAGGCTAATTCCCAGGAATGTCGCACTTACTTCTCTGTCCAGCTCGATCATGGGGACCTTGCTGGCTTCCATAAGCGCGTCGGCGAGCTTGCGATTCGTTCCAAAGTCGGCCCCATTGCGTGTGATTGTCTCCAGGAAATAATCGCCGTCCATGATCTGGTTGAACTCCTTCGTGTCGACAAAGTGGAAGTCTTTCCCGTGCACTTCACCATCAACGGCACTCCTCGTTGTGTGCTGGACGACACGCCCAAAGACGCCCTTCCTCAGCTCCATCAGCCGGGATGTGAGGTCTTGCTCGGGAAGTCCTCGCGGCACGACAACGACAACAGGCTGGCTGTCTTCAGGCAGCTGGTCCTTCTCCTCGCTCTCTTCCACGGCATCGTCTTCAAGGCTTTGGAGGTCTTCAAAGATGACGTCGACTTTCTGCCAGTCCTCTACATGGTCGAGGTTCGCTAGCTTGTCTCTTCTCGCCAGTCGAAACGCCCTCCAGGTCTTGCTCGCCTTCAGCTCGAGAATATCTACCTTCTCCTTTTCCGAGTTTGCAAAGCCGAGGTCGAAATCATCCGATGCGATCTTGTCCCTAAACTTATCCAGATCGGGCAGCTTCCACCTCGCAGGGTCTTTGAGTCTCTCCATCGCGGCCTCGCCGTCTTCTTCTTGGAGAAAGTTGAGATCGAGCGCGCCCATGGGCGTCGGCCGGAGTCTTTTATTCGTTGCCAGCCTCCGTGCACCGTCCATCGCCTCGCGAAATTCTGACGGAGTGACTGCTGGTCGGTCGATCGGAGGGCAGCTTTCGATCTTCCAGCGCACCCATCCTTTATCGCGCGACAGGACACTCTCTACGACTCTGAAGAAGAAGTAGCCATCGGGACCCGCCTGTAAGTAGCTAGTAATGCGTTCCTTCATTGATCGTACCCATTTCGCCTGGCAGAGATATCAGTACAGGAACAGCAACAAGGCCATCGAAAGGGCTTCAGCTTACGTCGTCGTCGCTTAAGACATGGTCTGCGTATAGAACAGACTTGTTTGGCGCTTTGATACCAGCTATCTTGGACTTGGCCTGCGGCGCAAGGGAAGCCAAGAATTCCATGACTATCAAGGCCTGAATGAGGATGTGTCGTCGGAAATACAGATCACCAATCTGCAATTCCAGGTTAGCGACAGCATACTTAGGTTTGGGCAACTGGTACGAACCTCCAGGTCGAAAAGATCTCTACTAGTCAGATATTTCGGGTTGTAGTTGCTGCCGTCTCGCTCTTCCGTAGATTCTGGGTGTTTCCTCTTCTGCGCTGATATCCTGCTATCGTCTGAGGATTTCGTTGATCGTTGCATTTTGTCGACAGTCTCGAAGGCTGACAAAGTTGAGCCTAGAGCGTCCTTGAATTTGGTGAATTCTACAGCGTCAAAGAGCGCTAATGGCTGACTGAAGTGATGTTGTAGTGACCAAAATATCGGATACAGTGCATCTGTATCGAGAGGCTTGTCTTGGGTCGGTTTGTTCTTGGCATCGAACGACACTGCCTTCGAGCCTGACTTTGCAGAGGCCCTCTCATCTTTCTCTGGCTGGCTTTCAGAGCTTGGCTCGTCCACTTGCATTTCGTCGCCGTCGCCTTCGATCTTCGCGGGCGTAACCTCGTATTTTGTGACGTTGTCGACATGGTATTCACCTCGGAGGTTGACAGAACTGCGGTCACCGAGCGGGAAGCTCTGAAACATGAAGATGAACACCCGGCCACAGAATGCGGCGTCTTCGGCACGAGACAGCCTCCTTAACAGCTCGTTGCAGGTCCTTAGCATGACTAGAGACTTCTGTTTGAGGTTCTTGGCTATGATTCGCTCCCTGCGGGACTCGAGATAGTCGAATATTCTCCGGCAACCATCGATGGTTTGAGCGTCGAGAAGCTCTTCCACCAGCCAGCAGAGCAGCGCTGGGTCGCATTGCTCATTGTCGGAAAGGATGGAGAGTATATCGAAGAAGTTCCAGACTTGGACGAACTCTGGTGTATCTATTTGCGTCGTTGCCTGCCACCACCTAACAGTCAGCAAACGAGGCCCGCGAAGGACATGATAGGATTGCACTGAGGTCCGAGCCTTACCACGAGCGTGCTGAACAGGTCTCGCGCGGCAGTCTCGACGATCGCATATTGCCGGGCTTTATCGGTAGCTGGAGCATCGGAGTCCGTTTCCGTAAAAACCTGAGGTATCCTTGAGAGGAAGGTCTCGAAGTTACTTTCCGTCAGAGCAGGCTCGATCGAGGTCGAAGGTTTGACATCCCGCGCATGTTGAAGCGCCTCTTTCAGGAGCACAGCAAACCCTGAGACCTGAGCGACCTCGGACTCGCTGTTGATCGCAGATGGCATGGCGTAGGCCAGTGGCGCGCAGGCCTCTCCTTACAGGCGTTCCGAGGATTGTTGCGAAAGCTCCGGGATCATGGGGGCCGATTCCGATCGGCGCGGGCAGCTCGTCAGGCAAGCCCAGCGCATAGGTCTACGTCGTGTGCTTCCCGGGAAGGACGAAGAGCACCTCGAGGTAGCGAGGATCTTTGGTTGGGTTGAAGTGTCGCGTGCGTGGTCCCAAGGTCGTATGACCAGTTGAGTTGTGATATGACTGCCACAGCGCGGCTTGCGACGACGCGCCGGATGCACGCAACCGATAAGGACCCTGGACGGCCGATAAGCTCATGCGCTGGTTCTTGTAGAGCAAGCTCCTTGGAAAGAACCACTGAGTGCTCAGCTCTTTATACGAACATCTGCCTTCGAACGAGCAAATAAAATGTGTTGATGTTTCGGGACAAGCACCATGGAGTGCCCACGTATTGATTGCAGTTCGTGCAGTGGCAAGTACTGTGCTTCCAAACCAGAAGACCTGGTGTGTGCGTAGAAACAGAACTCGAGAACAAACTTGTTTTACAAGACACAATGGTTTAACGGGAGACGATCAGACACAACTTGAAATAACAAGACGAGATGGTGATCCTGTCGTATCTTTGCAAAGACTTGTGCTCCTACAAGAAGGTTGAATACAGTACTTCGCCTGGTGCAGTGAGTTATGTAAGCGTGCTGGCCCTGCGGGAGCTGTCCGAAGCTCTTGCGAGCACGCGCCGCAAGCTTCACGAAAAAAGACGGGGCCGGCATTGGTGGAGTGCGCTTTGCTTGGGGTTGGCAAGCGACCTGACATTCTTTAATTGTTGCAACCACGCGGCCAGCAGCAAGTCGCAAACACGGCAACAGCACACAACAGACCTGTCCAGCCACCAATAGCGATCTGCTGTCGACATCTTCCACACCTGCGCGGTCAGCGTCAAACGAGTCGCGACGAGTCGGACGTACAGTCTCCGTATCAACAGGCGCCTGCCAACATCGTAGACATCACGCCCATACGCACGCCACATGCAGTAGGCGCCATCCACCACCACGCCGTCCTCTGTTCGTCGTCATACCCGAGCCCCGGCGCAGCATTGTGTTCCCGACACACCTGCGGCCTCGCAACCCAGACCTCGGGCGCGAATGCGACATGCCTACCGCCAAGCGACTACGGAGTGGCGCTGCCTCGAAAGCGAAGGATGCTCCGGCAGCCTCCACGGCTCGCCCGACTGTGGCCGACCTCGAGGGCGAGAATGACTTTTCAAAGCTGGCCAACAAGCATTGGCTCAAGCCAACCAAGTCTGCTGCGAAGGTCAAAGTCAAGAACGACGTAGTCAACAAAGACATCTGGGCCGTTCTGGAGAAGGACTCGTTTCCCTACAAGTCCCTTGTTGCCTTGGAGGGCCTTCAGACACTCGAGAGCTATCTCTGGCCCGGCTACTCGGAAGACTCGTCCAATAAGCATGTTCTCCTTCTCGCCCTTCTGACCAACGTCAAGGCCCGCGAGCGGCTCGCGACATGGTCTCTTTTCGAACCGCGGCCGATAGATTTCAGCAGCCTCTTCCGGCGGATATTGTCCTTGTGTCTGGACAGGACCCTCTCGTTGGTCTTGCGCACACATCTTATCTCCTTCATAATCCACGCCTTCTCGAGCCTGGATCTGGCCAGTGTCCGCAAGGAATGCGCCCCCCTCGTGTCTATCGCGATCTGGCACAACCTCTCAAC